GATGGATGATAACATTGTAATATGGTTGAAGGTCATAGTTAAGTGATGCTCACGTCAGTTCCATCGAAATCAATCACTACATCTGTTCTGGAGAAGAAAAGGTTAAAAAAATTGTGAGAACACTTAGCTGGTATCTCATACAATCACCTAGTATGTACAGAGTTGGAAATAAACCTGTTTTCAGGTGTTCTTGAGATGAAGTTGAGAAAGCCAATCCGTGGCCAGAATCTTGGATTACTGGATGAGAATTAAGAATAGTGCTACTATGTGACTGAAAGTAACATGTATAGTAAGTCTGATCAAAAAGTTGAGCACTTGGTGGTGACTTTATAAGGAACATTTGTACAGAGTGTGGATTCAACTGCAACGAAGTCAGAGCAGCCATCTTGGATTTTCATATCCACACACATTGGTGACCATGTCGGTAACATATTTACAGTCAATTATTGGTAGTTCTTTTAAAGTCGTAAATGTCTTGTGACAGAAGCCAGGGCACTCTCACTGGATTTTCAGTTCAGCAAGAAAACTATATTTTGTGTTGATCTTATAAGGAAAACTACTATGATGGGAGTCAATTACTTAAGCTTATTAGCTCACCAGGTCCGAAGGACCAAGGTGAGCTTATTCTGTACCGTGGCGACTATAGTCCGTCAACAATTTCTTTAAACGACTTCTTCTTCTTAACCACTCACTGATTGGAATTAAACTAAATTTGACTGGAAGCATTCCTAGGTGGTAGGGATTCAAAATTGTACAAATGGTGGGCCTGATGCCCAAGGGGGCCGAGGGGCGGGGCCAAAAGGGGGCAATTTGGCTATATTGCTTTAAGCGACTTCTGCTCTGGAACTAAGAGATGGATACTAACCATATTTGACTGGAAGCATCCCTAGGTGGTGGAGATTCAAAATTGTACAAATGGTGGGGCTGACCCCCTGGGCTAAGGGGTGGGGCCAAAATAAGTTTATCTCTTTGAAACGGTTGAGATCCCCTCTCCAAAACTATATATACAAATGCTGTGTATAAAGAGACGAATGCAGTCATGATAATAGAATAGACCCTGGGGTCTGACGGAACCCCTAGGGACCTAGTTTCTTAGTAACAGCTTGGAAACAGTTGAGATCCCCACCCTATAACCATATATACAATTGCTAAGTATAAGGAAATGAATGCATATATGCTTCCAGGATGGCCTTGGGGTCTGCCCCACCCTTGGAGACTTGACCCCTGGGTCGTAACTTTGAAATTGTTAAGATTCTCACCCCAAAACTATATATACAATTGTTGGGCATAAAGAGATGAATGCAGTCGTGATATTAGAATTGATCCCAGGGTCTGCCCCATCTTTGCAGACTTAACCCCTGGGTCATAACTTAGAAACGGTTGAGATCCCCACCCCAAAACTATAAATACAAATGTTGGGCAAAAAGAGACGAATGCAGTCATGATATTAGAATTGATCCTGGATTGACCTTGGGGTCTGGCATATTCCCTTGAATCTCATTTGGAGAATATTTTGCCATGATTGCTTAGATATCCAGGTGAGCGATACAGGCCCTCTGGGCCTCTTGTCTTGATGAGAAGGTTGAAAATGTCTCTGCTAATCAGAGGTTAGGGTGGCCATTTTGGATTTTTCGTTTGGTATGAAAAGTAACACTGAGGCTGAGAGAGAGGCATTCTTTGATTTTTGGAATGGCATAAAAAAGTAACTACACTTGGTCAGGATGTCATTTAATCTAAGTTTTGAGTTATTTGGTTTAGTAGAAGAAAAAAATATTCAGTGAAAAGAAGTAAAAAATGACTTGGCCAATAAGAGGTTAGGAAGATGAGGGATAGCAACACCAGTATCTCACATGCAAGTTTAATATAAAAAAAACAAGGGGCCCGAGGGCCTTAGCGGTCACCTGAGTTATACTAATGTCATGTCATCAAATGATAAGAATTTTATAGTATTGGTAAATTATCCCTTTGGGGCCCACCCTATTCCCTTGGGATGGGGCAGGAATCCCAATTTTACAATGTAATAACCTCATTCACCAAAGATGATTCTGACTAAGTTTGAGTAATTTTCTGCTGAAAATAGATAAAATATACCCAAGTGCTATTTCCCTATATAAACTATAGTAAACTTTACTCCCACCCCAAGGGGGAACAGATGGCTCGGGGGTCCTGAAATTGACAATTTCAATTAAGCTACTGATGATCTTTCTATCCATGCACTGAAATTTACTGTAGTACCTCTGAGTCTGGAGAGGAAGGTTTTTTAAATATTGGTTAATTTTCCCTTTGGGGCCTTGCCCTGGCCCCAGGGGTTGGTGTAGGAATCTCAATTTTACAATTTGAAACTATCTTCCCCCAAGGATAATTCCCACCAAGTAAAAATAATTTCCTACAGAAAATTGTCAAATTATACCCAAAAATGTTATTTCCCTATATAAATTATAGTAAACTTTACCCCCTCCCCAAGGGAGAACGGATAGCTTGGGGGTCCTGAAATTTGCAATTTAAAAAAAGCCCCTGATGATCTTTCTTTCTATGCAGAGAAAATGACTAGTACCTTTGAATCTGGAGAAGAATATTTTTGAAATATTGGTTAATTTTCCATTCGGGGCCCCAGGGGTTGGGGTAGGAATCCCAATTTTACAATTTTGTAGCCTCATCTACCAAGGATGATTCTGACCAAGTTTGAAATATTTCCATCCACTGGTTTTTGAGAAGAAGTTGAAAATGTAAAAGGTTTACACACGACGTCGACGGATGGAAAGCGATTAGAATAGGTCATTTGAGCAAAGCTCTGGTGACCTAAAAACAACCTAAAATTTGATGCTTGCCTTTATATTCAATTTAAGCTGATGGGAAATCTTGAGATACACCAAAACATATTGTATGGAGTATTCATATTTGTTTTTGTTTGAAATCAATAACAAATAAACATTTATTAGAATATATTTAAGACTGGATCTGTGACCCATACACTGAATTTCTACCAAAAAGAGTAAGTGTTGTAGTGGTGACTTTAATAGGTCTTACATGGTCAGCTTTTTCAGCCAAGTGTATCAAATGAAAATTAAAGAAAATTGTCATTGTGAACAGTTTTTATTTCTCAATGTGCAAAATAGTTAAATCCTTGTAGAAACAAATGTAAACATATATATCGGGAAATAGGAAGTTGTGTAAAACAGAAAAAAATAATATCAAAAATAAAAATAATATCAAAAATAATCATTTTTACAAACATACACAAAACATAGGGCCTGTAAGGCTCACCTGTCCCTATCTAAACTAGACAATAAATGAAAAGCTTCCATTTATACACAAAATATGTATTTTTCTAGCTATTTATCTTATTATAATTCAATTGATCCCACCTATATTCGGGTAAAGGGGCTATCTCAGATATGTCATAGAGTCGACATGTCGCCTACAAGTCAGTTTGGGGGCGCATGTTCCCAAATGACGTGTCGTTGCATGCAAGATAGCTTGCGACATGTTTACCTCATATGACGAAATTTATTCACCTTCCTACAAGCTGTCCTGGCTAGCTCCACAGCTTGGTGGGATGGTGCTGTCCTGGTTGTGAGCATGTTTATATATATCTCCTCATGTAGATGCTTTAACAAGAATAATAATTTGTTCCAAATTTCGATCAAAGAACAACACTCGGAGGAAGGCGGTGGTATAATTTCCAATGCTTAACCAACTGGCAGTGTTAACTCACTTGGACTTGTGCCAAGAAGAAGAAGAAATATGCTGTACAGATACTGAGGTATCGGATAAGCTCACAGGACCCTTGTGCCTTTTGTAGTGAAAATTTGACGAACAGACAGATGCCACACCATGACATAAGGGGATATGCCGTTTGGGCTACATATATATAGTTTATAAAAGTCTACATTAAATGTTTGATGTTTTTTATATTTGTAACAAGTTAATAATATACAAAACAATATGGTACCCTAAAATGTGATCAAACCTCCATTATACATAGATATAAAAATAAAATTCATCAACTGTGAATGAATTAAAAACAAAAACACACTAGCAAACTTGCAGAATGAATGTGCTCATCAGATGTGATATTGTAACACACTCATTAAACCTACAGAATCATCAGATGTGATATTGTAACGCACTCATTAAACCTACAGAATGAATGTGCTCATCAGATGTGATATTGTAACACACATTAAACGTGCTCATCAGATGTGATATTGTAACACTCTCATTAAACCTACAGAATGAATGTGCTCATCAGATGTGATATTGTAACATACTCATTAAACCTGCAGGATTTCAGCTAGCAATGTGGCCTGCACAACGTCATACAATATGGAACCCGTATATAAATGGAAAACATGACTGAATCTTGTCCATCAATCCAGTGGGGGAAGTGTCTGTGACCTCGTTAGATATACATGAACTCCATCATTTTCAAACATGTACCTTGACAGTTAACAACCAGTAACAAGATTTGGTGGAGTTCCATTGAAGGCAAGTCTCATTAATCCAGCCACCTTCGTTTAAAGGTAGAAATGGCTGAAATGTGAAACAGCTGGATAACATGGGGGACAATAAGCTAAATCTCTTCCAAAGAGAAAGACTCGATGGTGAAATAACCAAATTAGCGGTGACTGGATTATAGCGACTGGTCTGTACATAAATGTATACCAGGTTTACCAGTATATTGATAATTAAATACCGTAGACTGAAAGCAGTATACGTGGGAGTGATCAGTATTTGAGAAAAATGTACAAAATTACAAATGGTCAATAATCGTGAACTGCATAGGCTATGTTCGTAGCTACTGAACATTGTATCATAAACAATTAATGGATTGGGTCATTATTTATCTAGCTACTGAACATTGTATCATAAAAAATTAATGGATTATGTCATTATCTATCTAGCTACTGAACATTGTATCATAAAAAATTAATGGATTATGTCATTATCTATCTAGCTACTGAACATTGTATCATAAAAAATTAATGGATTATGTCATTATCTATCTAGCTACTGAACATTGTATCATAAAAAATTAATGGATTATGTCATTATTTATCTAGCTACTGAACATTGTATCATAAAAAATTAATGGATTATGTCATTATTTATCTAGCTACTGAACATTGTATCATAAACTGCCGCTGCTGTTTGACAAGAATTCGTGCTGTGTCAAAATATTATGCAATCCGGTGTAAGGGAAATAACTCTTTTATGTTGGTAAAGTCGCGTTTCGAAATATAATTCAAATATATTCCAAGAACATTTATGAGATTTTGTGATGAATTGTATATTCCATGACAGGAAATAAAGTCACTACATATATTATTGATATGAATAAAAAATAAATGAAAATAGTATTATAGTAGTTATTGATGCTCAACGTGTTACTGAAGCAATTAAATTTAAAGTGGTGAGCGGCTTTAACGTCACACTGACATCATTCTAGTTTTAAATTAGGAAAAAAACATCTAGAATTTATTGGGGGTTAATAAGAATCAAATGAAACAAAACTTTTTTTTTTAAATTCTAGCCCTGCCTGTATCCTATCACGGTTGCCATAGTTACCTTATGTAATACTGTAATTATTCAGTTGTTATGATTTAAAGATATGATATATTCATTTGGGAAACGGGTATTATGGTTTCTTATCTTATCCCAATCTAGTTGTCATAACTACCATAATATGCTTCACCATACAACTAGTGCCACTCGGGCAACGGCTTCAAGTTTTGACAAGTCACACATCTGTTGTCACCCAAATTACAAAATATTGCATGCACCACTTTCGTTGTTTGCCTGTATCTTCTGACTGGAGAAGCCCAGAGCCATGCCCTGCGCATTGGTTATGGTGGCCCCTATGTTCAGGTTGTACTTGCCCTTGAGCATCTGTTTGAGGACAGGGTTTGGTTTGAGTGTAGCAGCACTAGAGTCTCCCTCTGGAACCAAAACAACATAGCCCCGTCGTGTAAACTCTACCAGATCCACCTGACTATCTGTATAGAACGTAGTCAACGATAGGCCACGTCGAAAATCCCAAATCACAATCCTCTTATCTTGGCAAGTTGTTAGGAAGTGGGTACCTCTCTGGTGAAACTTGATGTTGAGAACAAAGTTGTCGTGCTTCCTGACCTTGAACTTTAAGGTGCCTTCCAGCGTGTTCCAAATATAGATAGATTTGTAGCCACCGGACACAATACTTTGACTGTCCGGAGAGAAAACCGCTGTTATGACGGTCGACTTCTGTCCCAGCCGGAACTTATAGGCACCAGTCATCTCAATGACCCGGATACTTCCATTGGTTGAGCCACACAAGGCAAGGGATTCGTCTGGACTGATCGCGGTACATTTGGCTGCAGACATATCTGTGTCCACTTGTGACATGTCCATCATTGCACATTCTGTGTTCTCTTTCACACTGACCACTACTGGGAAGTCAAACATACTGGACACAAACTGTAAAACAAAGAGGGTAAGTTTGAGGTCAAACTAACCAGGATGGTCAAACAGCAGGGCATACACTAGCTGTAACATACAGGGGGAAAGTTTTAGATGAAAATAACAAACAATTGTCTGGACCATTCCATGAATATTTCCAATGAATTTCGGTGAAATCAGTTCTGAAAATTTGAGTCATATTGAAACCAAAATTTTAAAATGGCAGTCACGGTGGCCATATCGGATTTCAAATTGGTTTCTAATAACAAGAATTAATCAGGACCCTGTACTGATCATTTCAACAAAGTTCTGGCTTAATCTGTAAAATCTGGATTAAAGTTGAATTTAGACTTACTAGATGGTTCCTATTGTGGTCAGATCTGTTTTTACATCGGCTCCAAAATAGCAAGAACTGTTCACAACAATACATCGTTCATTTCCATTAGTGTTTGGTGAAATCAGTCAATATTAATTAGCGGTTAAGTTAAATAATTAAATGTAAAGGTTACCTTGGTGCCGCTGGTGTTGATAGCCACTGTGTAGAAGGAGTAGAGTAGAGACAATTCCCTCAGCAGATCACCTGTCAAACAATGAAAATTAGATAACCTGTCAAACAACGAAAATTATATCACCTGTCAAACAAGGAAAATAATATCACCTGTCAAACAAGGAAAATAATATCACCTGTCAAATAATGAAAATTATATCACCTGTCAAACAACGAAAATTATATCACCTGTCAAACAAGGAAAATAATATCACCTGTCAAACAAGGAAAATAATATCACCTGTCAAATAACGAAAATTATATCACCTGTCAAACAATGAAAATTATATCACCTGTCTAACGATGAAAATTATATTACCTGTAAAACAACGAAAACTAAATCACCTGTCAAACAATGAAGACTATATCACCTGTATAACAAGGAAAATTATATTACCTGTCAATCAATAATTTATATCACCTGTCAAACAACGAAGTAGAAAATGAACAAAATATTTTACTATGAAGGGTATTGGTTTCCAGCATATCTGGGTCTAGAAAAGGTTTTAAAAATTTAAGCCAATTTGATCCCTTTTAGCTATGCCCCTCAGACCTTGGGGGTGGGCACTATCAAATCGTCTTTTCATAGTTATAATGTAAAGTTTGAATAATTTCCAATTGAAAATGGACCAAAAATACCCAAAAGTATCATTTTCCTTTATAAACTATAGTATACTTCGCCCCCTCCCCAGGGGCAAACATGGAGTCTGGGGGTCATGAAATTCTCATTTTTGATAAAGTACCTCAAGACCCTGAAGAGAAATTGGTTTCCAGCATATCTTGGTTTGGAGAAGAAGATTTTAAAATATTAAGCCTATTTCACCACTTTTAGCCCCGCCCCTCAGAGCCTCTGGAGGTGGGAACCATATAATTCACAATAGTGGTGCATATTTGACGAAGGAAGGTTCATGCAAATTTTTATTGAAATAGGATCAGGGGTTTCTGAGAAGAAGTCGAAAATGTAAATTGTTTATGGACAAACGACGACGGACAAAAGGTGATTAGAATAGGTCATTTGAGACTTCGTCTCAGGTGACCTAAAAAGGGTCCATTTCTCTTTATATAGTGGGGCCGAGACCTGGATTTAGAATGCGACATCCTACTTCCCAGGATACATTTGGTCAACGTTGGTGAAATAACATTGAAATTATGCTGTGGGCAAACTTTGGTATCAAAAATAAACATCGGGCCATTACTCTGTATATAGTGGGGCACAAAACCTGATTTTAGTGCGAGACATACTGTCTTCCCAAGATACATAAATATGGTAAGTTTGGTCAACGTAGGTGATATAACATAGAACTAATGCTTGGGACAAACTTTGGTACAGTACATTCCACCTAATATCACGTCTGTTAATGTCACTTTCCTGTTATTATCATGTTTTTTTGATGCACCGTTTTTCTTGCTATATAATCAATGCAATTCAATTCTTTTATTATCACCTGCTTTTATGTCGATTTCTCTTAATATCACTTTATTTTGGCCACTGGCTCAAAAAAAATACAGGTAAATGGTGGTAATGATTCATGATAAATGCCCTGGGGACCTTCTGTCACACCCTGGACACATTATGTAAACAATGCCTCGGCCTAACAAGGTATTTTTTACACCTGGCTGACTTTTAAACAATAGGTTACACCTGGCTGACTGTTAAACAATAGGTTGACTTACATACTTGTTAACATGATATTAACCTGTGGTTGGGGGAGCTAGGACAGTCTAACAGCTGTAAACTTTTCTAATGCCAAGTGTGATGTATTCTTTCAACTAATTATAACATGTGTACTATCTTCCTTTATTAACCTATAAAAAGATGTTACTAGAGAAAGAACAGTATATATATCAAGATATAGGTAAATATTTACGAAGTTTCATGTTTAAAATTGAATTTGATGCAGAATACCATCCAAACACTTGTATGCCTACATCACTACTGCAGTAAACAATCATAATTACAATCGTACTGATCATTTTGCTACTAACTATATGAAATGTAACTGCATACTGAAATGAAATACAAACAATAAATTTATTTCTATACTTATTTACTTATATCTATATTTCAACTAGGGTAAAGAACAAGGTTAGTTACAAAATATCAATCTTCTTCGTAGAGCCACATCACTTAGGCATTTGACTAAGTTCACTTCTGGTTTTGAGGGTTGAAAAACATCAGAAAATATGTATTCTGTTTATGTCATGTTTCTGTTAATATCATGTTTTTCTCTGACAAATGGAAAGTGATATTAAGAGAAATCTACTGTATTAAAATTAAACAAAGGGCCATAACTCTGTATATAGTGAAGCACAAGACCTAATTCCAGTGCACTGCACACTTTCTGTGGGTGATGCAGGTAACCTTCAAGTTTGATCAAGATATCTTAACGGTTTAAAATTTAAGGGCCGGACAAGAATTTACTGAAAATGTTGCACTAATACCTGGTCCGAAGCTTATGCTATACCAGAGCTTATGTCCCTCGTCCGTTCCTAACAATTTCTTCAAACGACTTCTTCTTCTTAACCACCTATTGGAATTTAACTAAATTTGACTGGAAGCATCCCTAGGTGGTGGGGATTCAAAATTGTACAAATGGTTGGGCTGCACTCCAAGGGGGCTGAGGGGCGGTGCCAAAAAGGGTTAATTGGCTATATTGCTTTAAGCGACTTCCTCTCTACAACTAAAAGATGGACATAAACCATATTTGACTGGAAGCATCCCTAGGTAGTGGGGATTCAAAATTGTACAAATGGTGGGGCTGACCCGCCAGGGGGCTGAGGGGCGGGGCCAAAAGGGAACAATTCTTCTGTAGAACTATGCACTGGATATCAATCATATTTGGTTGGAAGCATTCATGGGAGGCAGGGATTCAAATTGTACAAGTATTGGGGCTGACTCCCTTGGCAAAAGGGTGGGGCAAAAAATAGTTTATTGCTTGGAAATGGTTGCAATCCCCACCCTATAACCCTTTATACAATTGCTGAGAATGAAGAGAAGAACGCACATATGTTTCCAGGATTACCCAGGGGTCTGCTCCACCCTTGGAGACTTAACCCCTGGGTCATAACTTTGAAACGGTTAAGATCCCCACCCCAAAACTGTATATACAAATGCTGGGCATAAAGAGACGCACGCAGTCATGATATTAGAATTGACCCCGGGGTTTGGTCACAACCCTAGGGACCTAGTTTCTGAGTCACACCTTGAAAACAGTTGAGATCCCCACCCCATAACCATACATAAAATTGCTGGGCATGAAAAATCTATTACAGATAGGATACAAGGATTGTCCTTGGGGTCTGGCCCATTCCTTTGGATCTTATTTGGAGAATATTTTGCCATGATTACTTTGATATCCAGGTGAGCAATACAGGCCTTCTGGGCATCTTGTTTGACCTTTGACCTTGAGGTGAAGGTCACAGTGACCTAATTCCAGTGCACTGCACACCTTTTGTGGGTGATGCATGCATACCCAAAGTTTTATCATGATATCTTTAACGGTTGAAAAGTTATGGCTCGGACAAGTTGCGATTAGAAGAACCAGAGGAAGAAGAAGAAGAACCAGTACTTATACAATATGTCTCCCTTAATTCGAAGGGGAGACATAATTATATCACCTGTCAAACAAAGTTACTTATATCATCTGTCAATCAAAGGTACCAGAGATTGTGTTGATGGAATAATCAAGAACAGAAAGTTTAAAAGAAGCCATTAATTTTTTATTATCCTTCATATAATCTAAAACTTTTACTTCTGGTGAAATTTTGGCAGCTATTGTATATAGTGTGGACATGTTTAAATGTATATAGATATACTCATTATTGCAGATTCACCGTATCTTTGATGGTTAAAAGTGACAAAAATGTTCACTAATTTACCTTTATTGACAATTACCAAAAGTTTGACTGGCCAAAGATTTCCCAATGTATAGTAATCAATTTATTTGTTTAACACATTTTTTTTAAATATCAGAGTCAAAAGTGTAAAACTAGTACATGATTCTGTTTCTCACCTGTTCTGATATTCCAGATACTACCCTTGGCCTCCATTCCTGCTTGACCAGCCACAAGGATGTCGCTGGCCTCAGCCATACATGACATGTCATGTTTACACTTGACAGACTTGTGGATGACCTCTGTAAGAAGAAACAGTTTTCTCATACAATGTTAGTGATGGGCCTCAGTAAAGTATTCCACATTACTTAGTAGGCCATTAATATTTAGCCAAAATCAAGAGCATCCATTGTCCAAATCTATATATTGGTCAGAACCCTTTATTGTATGTCTCTATACCTGTAATACCTCTGTAAAGAATAAGGTCTAAAACTGTGGATAGTATTCACTGTTACAGTATCAGTATTAATAAACAGCATTTCAACAAATGACTTAAGAAAACCTTGAAAAATAAAGAGAGGTTCATAAGATTATAGTAAACAAACATTATCCTAGGGACTAGAGCCCAGACACATGTAAAGACAACCTGACTATGGACCGAAGCCCAAACACATGTAAAGACACACTGACTATGGACAAAAGCCCTGCAGATACATATGAAGACACACTGACTATGGACCGAAGTCTAGACATATGTAAAGACACACTGACTATGGACAAAAGCCCAGACACATGTAAAGACACACTGACTATGGACAAAAGCCTAGACACATGTAAAGACACACTGACAATGGACTGAAGCATAGACACATGTAAAGACACACTGACTATGGACCAAAGCCCAGATACATATGAAGACACACTGACTATAGACCGAAGTCTAGACACATATAAAGACACACTGACTATGGACCGAAGCCCAGACACATGTAAAGACACACTGACTATGGACTAAAGCCCAGACACATGTAAAGACACAATGACTATGGACCAAAGCCCAGATACATATGAAGACACACTGATTATGGACCAAAGCCCAGACACATGTAAAGACACACTGACTATGGACTGAAGCATAGATACATGTAAAGACACACTGACTATGAACTGAAGCCCAGATACATGTGAAGACACACTGACCTTGGACCAAAGTCCAGACACATGTAAAGACACACTGACTATGGACCAAAGCCAAGATACAAATAAAGACACACTGATTATGGACCAAAGCCCAGACACATGTAAAGACACACTGACTATGGACCAAAGCCAGACACATGTAAGGACACACTGACTATGGACCAAAGCCCAGACATATGTAAAGACACACTGACTATGGACCAAAGTCCAGACACATATAAAGACACACTGACTATGGACTGAAGCCCAGACACATGTAAAGACACACTGACAAAGCGATTACTTCATATCTTCCCTCCTCCTTACTCAGAGAACTCACTTGTTTGCATGTCCCATACTTCAATGTTTCCCTTTTTCGAAGCAGCCACCACAAGGTCACCTGCTGACCCAACCAACAACAAGGACAGGGGTACAGATGTCATGGTCACCCGGCTCTTTACCTGGTTGGACTTGAGGTCTTTAATTACCATTTCTCCACTGGACAGCGCCAGGTAAATCTCTCGAGCATCACTGTTACAAGTAAACAAATCAAAACAGAATATACTTTATCTCAATACAAAACTAGTAAGAGGGAAGGAGTTGGAGAGAAAGATTTAGAGGGACAGATTTACAGAGAAAGAGATGGAGAGAAAGAGATGGAGAGAAAGAGATGGAGAGAAAGAATTGGAGGGAAAGAGTTGACAGGAAACTCCACAGAAGTCTTTTTTTTATGTAACTGAAATGACATAATGAAACAAACAAACCAGAACAATGGCAGGCCCTTCTTACTGACCACTACTTTCCCTAACTGCTGACTCTTTCTTACTGACCCCTTCTAATTGACTCTTCTTTCCCTACTAACTGATCCCTTCTTACTGATCCTACTTTCCCTACCTGCTGACCCCTACCTACTGACCCCTACTTATTACTCTACTTTTTCTACTAACTGACCCTACTTTCCTTACCTGCTGACCCCTTCTTACTGACCCTACATTATCTACCTCCTGACCCCTTTTACTGACCCTACATTATCTACCTCCTGACCCCTTTTACTGACCCTACTTTCCCTACATGCTGACCCTTTCTTACTGACCCCTACTTTCCTTACCTGCTGACCCCTGCTTACTGACCCTACGTTCCCCACCTGCTGACCCCTACTTACTTACCCTACATTCCCTACCTGCTGGCCCCTACTTACTTACCCTACTTACCCTACCTGCTGACCTCTACTTACTGACCCTACTTTCCCTACCTGCTGACCCCTACTTACTGATCCTACATTCCCTACCTGCTGACCCCTACTTACTGACCCTACATTCCCTACCTGCTGCCCTCTACTTACTGACCCTACATTCCCTACCTGCTGACCCCTTCTTACTGACCCTACTTACCCTACCTGCTGGCCCCTACTTACTTACCCTACTTACCCTACCTGCTGACCTCTACTTACTGACCCTACTTTCCTTACCTGCTGACCCCTTCTTACTGACCCTACATTATCTACCTCCTGACCCCTTTTACTGACCCTACATTATCTACCTCCTGACCCCTTTTACTGACCCTACATTATCTACCTCCTGACCCCTTTTACTGACCCTACTTTCCATACATGCTGACCCTTTCTTACTGACCCCTACTTTCCTTACCTGCTGACCCCTGCTTACTGACCCTACATTCCCTACCTGCTGACCCCTTCTTACTGACCCTACATTATCTACCTCCTGACCCCTTTTACTGACCCTACTTTCCCTACATGCTGACCCTTTCTTACTGACCCCTACTTTCCTTACCTGCTGACCCCTGCTTACTGACCCTACATTCCCTACCTGCTGACCCATTTTTAATGACCCTACTTACCCTACCTGCTGGTCCCTACTTACTTACCCTACTTACCCTACCTGCTGACCCCTACTTACTGAGCCTACATTCCCTACCTGCTGACCTCTACTTACTGACCCTACTTACCCTACCTGCTGCCCCCTACTTACTGACCCTACTTTCCCTACCTGCTGACCGCTACTTACTGACCCTACATTCCCTACCTGCTGACCCCTTCTTACTGACCCTACTTACCCTACCTGCTGGCCCCTACTTACTTACCCTACTAACCCTACCTGCTGACCTCTACTTACTGACCCTACTTTCCTTAACTGCTGACCCCTTCTTACTGACCCTACATTCCCTACCTGCTGACCCCTTTTTACTGACCCTACTTACCCTACCTGCTGGCCCCTACTTACTTACCCTACTTACCCTACCTGCTGACCTCTACTTACTGACCCTACTTTCCTTACCTGCTGACCCCTTCTTACTGACCCTACATTCCCTACCTGCTGGCCCCTACTTACTTACCCTACATTCCCTACCTGCTGACCTCTACTTACTGACCCTACATTCCCTACCTGCTGACCCCTACTTACTGACCCTACATTCCCTACCTGCTGACCCCTAAGGCATCAGTGGTAAAAGTCTGCTTAAGCTCCTCTTCAAACATTGGTATCAGTTTAGAGGCTATTTCCGTGTCGTCACAGCAACCCTCTGTTGTCGTGTTAAACTTGGCCATGACCTTGTTGAGGTCCCAGGTTTTCACACAGTTGTCCTTGGAAGCAGATATCAGCGTCTTCATGTCTGAGCTCTACAAATAAAACATTTATATTTTTAATAATTATGAGGCCAAGGAGTTGACAATATGTTCTGTCTTAGTCAAGAATACTCAGGTTAGACCTGAAATTCTAGAAACGATTTGGATGAATAGTTAAATGGACTAAATTCTCAGAAATTCTATAACAGCTTTGCTTATCTCAATAAATGAATGTAAGTGGGCACACCATGACATCAAATTTACTGACCCCATCTTCCTCAACATTCATCATCATTTTTGACTGCAGCCTACAGCTTTAATAGTGGCGAAACCTGACATGACAAGCGGAACTCTTAGATTTGCCAAGGTGATTAGTTCAACAGAATTTCAGCTTAATCCAAACATACATTTTCAAGATGGCACGGTCAAGCTATATTGAATTTTAATTCAGCTAAAAATTTGACCGCTATATAGGACATTATATGTAAGAAACTAACCACTAAGACCTGTACCACATCCATGGTGTGGCTATTTAGGCTGCAGAATGGGATCACTGATGAGTTTGGAGCGTCCACACTACCGCAGTACGATATATGTATCGCTCCATTAGTCCTGCGGTGTGATGACACAGCAAAGATCTTATCTGAGCCGAAAAGTTTCAGACAGTCCATGCCCCAAGGGTCTTTAAACAACTCTGGTATTGTAGCCTTGGTAACCATGTCACCACTGCTGATGTCCCAGATTTTCCACGCCTTGCCGTGCTCACCCTTTATGCACATAGTGGCGCAGGGGGCAGCAGATAGGTAGCGTTGTGTCGGGTGAAGTGACAAAAGCGTGAGACGGTAGGATGATCCACTGTCCAAGGTGTGCAGGAATTTTCCTGTTTCAAGGTCAAGCATGCACAGTTGGCCTTGGCAGCCGTATTTGCGGTAGATTAGGACATTACCGTTAGTTATTATAGATGCACTTCCAATGTCTGAGAATGAAGAACTAAACTTATCCATCTCTTCTGTATCTGGCTGTTTTGCATCAAATAGAAATTCGCCTTTTTCTAGATTCCACACCTTGTAGTAACCATATATGTCATTTAACACGGCTAGAAACTTCTCGTCAGGGGAGATAATCAGATTGAACACCTCACCATACATCTTTTTCTTAGAACGAAATCGTTTTCCACTAACTTCATTGTCCTTGTCTTGATCTGAGTTAATGACATCCTTTTCTCGTTGATCTGTGTCCAACACATGCTTGATTTTGTTCACACCACCACGAGTATCCGTGAGACAAACAAAGACTTTCGACACTGAAATTATAACATACAGGATAAATAAGACGAGACAATGCTCACAGGAGTGAAACTTGCTTAGTTGAACTTCAGAAACATTCAAATTAGAAACACCTATTAACTTTCTTTTTAGAAGAAGCAACTTTTGTTTACATTAATGCACAGTAAATCAGAAATTCAGTATAAGGAAACTTTAATTCTTGTCCTTACAACTTACCAGATATATACACCAGGTAAATACCAAATGGTGTGGCCCCAAAAGGCACTGCAAGGTTTTCATGAAGAACCTTTATTTCTTATTTCCTCTGGACCTTTCATATAACTGAAAAAAACTCTGTTATTTCCAGAATTTGAAGAGATCTTTGAAAATTTTCTATAACCCTTTTTTAGTTATGTCCTTCAGCGACCACAAAGGAAAGGGGCACAAAATCAACAAAACTAAACCACCTTACTCTTATGTTGCTTCTCATAAATTTGGTTGAAATCTGTTTGGAATAGATGAGATATTTGTCAATTACTTTCATTTCAAGGAAAACCCTTTTTGTTGGAATAGACGAGGTATTTGTCTGTTACTTGATATTCTATATAAACGCTTACAGTTGGAATAGACAAGGTATTTATCTGGTACTTGATATTCTATATAAACGCTTACAGTTGGAATAGACGAGGTATTTGTCTTATAAACCCTTACAGTTGGAATAGATGAGGTGTTTGTCTGTTACTTGATGTTCTATATAAACCCTTACAGTTGGAATAGACAAGGTATTTATCTGTTACTTGATATTCTATATAAACCCTTACAGTTGGAATAGACGAGATATTTGTCCGTTACTTGATATTCTATATAAACCCTTACTGTTGAAATAGACGAGGTATTTGTCCGTTACTTGATGTTCTATATAAACCCTTACTGTTGGAATAGACAAGGTATTTGCCCGTTACTTGATGTTCTATATAAACTCTTACTGTTGGAATAGACAAGGTATTTGTCTGTTACTTGATATTCTATATAAACCCTTTCTGTTGAAATAGACGAGGTATTTGTCTGTTACTTGATATTCTATATAAACCCTTTCTGTTGAAATAGACGAGGTATTTGTCTGTTACTTGATATTCTATATAAACCCTTACTGTTGGAATAGACAAAGTATTTGTCTGTTACTTGATGGTCTATATAAACCCTTTCTGTTGGAATAGACGAGGTATTTGTCTGTTCCTTGATATTCTATATAAACCCTTACTGTTGGAATAGACAAGGAATTTGTCTGTTACTTGATATTCTATATAAACCCTTCCTGTTGGAATAGACAAGGTATTTGTCTGTTACTTGATATTCTATATAAACCCTTATTGTTGGAATAGACGAGGTATTTGTCTGTTACTTGATACTCTATATAAACCCTTACTGTTGGAATAGACGAGGTATTTGTCTGTTATTTGATGTTCTATATAAACCCTTACTGTTGGAATAGACGAGGCATTTGTCTGTTACTTGATATTCTATATAAACCCATACTGTGGGAATAGACAAGGTATTTGTCTGTTACTGGATGTTCTATATAAACCCTTACTGTTGGAATAGACAAGGAATTTGTCTGTTACTTGATATTCTATATAAACCCTTATTGTTGGAATAGACGAGGTATTTGTCTGTTACTTGATACTCTATATAAACCCTTACTGTTGGAATAGACGAGGCATTTTTCCGTTACTTGATGTTCTATATAAACCCTTACTGTTGGAATAGACAAGGTATTTGCCCGTTACTTGATGTTCTATATAAACTCTTACTGTTGGAATAGACAAGGTATTTGTCTGATACTTGATATTCTATATAAACCCTTACAGTTGGAATAGACGAGGTATTTGTCTGTTACTTGATACTCTATATAAACCCTTACTGTTGGAATAGACGAGGAATTTGTCTGTTACTTGATATTCTATATAAACCCTTAGAGTTGGAATAGACGAGGTATTTGTCTGTTACTTGATGTTATATATAAACCCTTACTGTTGGAATAGACGAGGTATTTGTCTGTTATTTTATATTCTATATAAACCCTTACTGTTGGAATAGACGAGGAATTTGTCTGTTACTTGATATTCTATATAAACCCTTATTGTTGGAATAGACAAGGTATTTGTCTGTTACTTGATACTCTATATAAACCCTTACTGTTTGAATAGACGAGGTATTTGTCTGTTACTTGATGCTCTATTTAAACCCTTACTGTTTGAATAGACGAGGTATTTGTCTGTTACTTGATGCTCTATTTAAACCCTTACTGTTTGAATAGACGAGGTATTTGTCTGTTACTTGATGCTCTATTTAAACCCTTACTGTTTGAATAGACGAGGTATTTGTCTGTTACTTGATGCTCTATTTAAACCCTTACTGTTTGAATAGACGAGGTATTTGTCTGTTACTTGATGCTCTATTTAAACCCTTACTGTTTGAATAGACGAGGTATTTGTCTGTTACTTGATGCTCTATTTAAACCCTTACTGTTTGAATAGACGAGGTATTTGTCTGTTACTTGATGTTCTATTTAAACCCTTACTGTTGGAATAGACGAGGTATTTGTCTGTTATTTTATATTCTATATAAACCCTTACTGTTGGAATAGACGAGGGATTTGTCTGTTACTTGATGTTCTATATAAACCCTTGCTGTTGGATTAGACGAGGTATTTGTCTGTTACTTGATATTCTATTTAAACCCTTACTGTTGGAATAGACAAGGTATTTGCCCGTTACTTGATGTTCTATATAAACTCTTACTGTTGGAATAGACAAGGTATTTGTCTGTTACTTGATGGTCTATATAAACCCTTTCTGTTGGAATAGACGAGGTATTTGTCTGTTACTGGATGTTCTATATAAACCCTTACTGTTGGAATAGACAAGGTATTTGCCCGTTACTTGATGTTCTATATAAACTCTTACTGTTGAAATAGACAAGGTATTTGTCTGTTACTTGATATTCTATATAAACCCTTACAGTTGGAATAGACGAGATATTTGTCCGTTACTTGATATTCTATATAAACCCTTACTGTTGGAATAGACAAGGTATTTGCCGGAGCTGGAGGCTGTGATGCAGTGTGCCTCATGGTGAAGTTTCATTAGGGTGGCTGACTTGGACTGGAATACCTGGTTGTATTCATTCTGGTTCTTTACATGTATGTATCTATCAATAGAAAGGCATTTCATATATCTTACAATCTACCAATTGATATATACAGGATCTTACATGAGTTTCCATTTCATATGAGATTTTATGAAAAGAGTTTTAGGAGTTTTTATTTTTGCGAGCCATGGCGAGCAAAAATTAAAACCTCGAGACAAGTTTCATAAAAGCTCCTCTGGAGCACAATTTATGACGTCACGTCATTGTCCATATTATGACATCACAATCGATTTATGACTGGCACAGCCAATGAAAAACGCTCCAGGGTATGTTACACTAGTGACATGTGTAAAAATATTACACAGGCGAATTCACTGGATAACTGGCCGATTGTGTGAAAAATACTTTTTTTTTAACAAAAGTAGGAACTGTACACAATTATAATAGAATCTTACAATCATTGATTTTATGTTATAATAAAAATGATGTACTCAAGTTTAATGATCACGGTCATAACTATTTGCTCACTCAATCTGGAGTTTAAATATCTCCAAATAAGTAAGGCCTGGTTGATTAAAATATCATTCAGAAAAAGACTTGCTAACTTAGGGTGTTTTCAGAGGAATGGTCTCTTTACAAGGGGGATATTTCATATGAATAGTCATGAAATTATTTTTCATGTGAATGGTCTCTTGTGTGTTTTCAGATGTGCTTTCTGTCATAAAAGAGTGTTACGTGGTCTATTGAGAGATCTGCCATGAAATATGATATCTACATAAGTTATATTGTACATACTTGTTCCCGGCCAAGAAATTGACAGCCGTGAAATTCCTTGTCAGTTTGGTCATGAACACACTGCTTCCATTGTCTGCTAGGTCAAACGTATGGATTAAGGCGGTGTCAAATCTTGATGTGGGCGGAGTCAGGACAAACAAGTGATTGACATCCTCCTGTAGGTACATCACATGACTCAAGTCACGTGACATGGAATCTGGGAATCAAATGTTAAATACATGTTGTCATACCTCCTCCCAGTAACAGAGTAAATAAAAGTTTATTTCTGTCCTGCAGCTCAATTCCTTGGTTACATTTTCACAAAATTATGGGAAATCAATAAGAGTTATTTCCCCTGAAGTACTGAGTGACTGAAGCAGAACCGTTGTTAGTAAGCCTAGGCTTTTTATTTCAAACGAGCAGGAAAATATGAGCATTTCCATTAGGTAAAATAACCTATTTATTACCATTGTGGGAAGACATGAAAATATGTAACTTTTCAGCACGTCATATTGAGTTGGTTAACAAATATTCTTACATCCCTCAAAGAAGGGTAATCAATGTGTAATCAACATAAAACATAATTAAAGTTCCTTTACATACAGGATTATCACTTTCATATGATATTTATATATCTAGTAGAGAATCTATCATTTTTCTGTGGCAGAGAATGTATAATGAGGCTCTGCCAAGTTGTAGCCTCAGCTCTAAAACATTATCTCAAAAGTTTCTGTTTACACACCTGAATAAGAAAGGAGGACAAAAAATACCATGAAAGACCACACTTACTTCCCGTCAGGTAGATCTCAATGTCGATGGTGAACCAGAGAACGCCCCCTGGTGGGGGCATACAGAAGGACCGGGGTGCCAGTAGTGGGGTAGAGGTTGTGTCACACCACTCCTGGGCCCCCTTTACCAGACTGTGCAACCACTTTGTCTTAACTGTTCCACCAAGTCTGGCCATCAGCTGTTTATCAAATATGTGTTTATTACTTTAATTGTCACTGGTTCCCACAACAAGGGACAGAAAAAGACACCAATGTACAAAAAAACACTGACCAGATATCACTGTTAATTAAAATATGTTTCACCTTATATAACATTAATCTTACCTACAGGAAACCAGGGGAAGTATTGCAAGCAATCGTAAGTCCCCCACCTCTGGACAGACTTCAGTAACAAACATGAACAAAGGGCCATAACTCTGTGTATAGTGAGACAGAGACAAGACTTCAGTACTTGACACTCCACCAAAAGCAATCACAAGAATAGTGAAGGTGAAAATACATTATAATAACAGTGACTTTTGACTGATCATGCCCATGTTCAAACTAGTCAACTAGTATACTGCAAAGCAAGCATTCCCGAAAGTTTCATTAAAATCTGTTAAGAAATACAGTCGATAGAGTGATCACAATAAGTTTGACAGTGAAATCATATTATTAGTAAGTGACCTTGACCTTAGACTGATCATACTCATGTTCAAACGTGTAAAAACCTACCTCCAAGGTAAATATACCTGTGACATTTAATCTGTCGAGAAAGACAGCAGCTAGAGTGATCACCATTGATGTGTGACTGTTTATATTCTATTTTTAGCAACAATGACCTTGATCTCTAACCAATCAAGTCTATATTTGGAACAGTCTAATGTTATCAAAGGCAAACATATCAAAGAAGTTTCAATATAATTTATCAGAAAATACTGCTGCTAGTGCGATCACAATGAGCATGTCAGTGAAATTCTATTTTAACTAAGTGACCTGGACATTTTACCCATCATGCCTCCATTCAATGGCGTTAGGTGTGACAAATTTGAGAAGCCAGGTCTACATAATAATCTCCAACACCATTTGTCAGACCTGTAAACAGTTTAACTTGAAGAACAAAATTATTGAATAAAATATTTTTTTGAGAAATCCAATTTTATTTCTCACTGGCTACAAGCTGGGAACTGGAAAATAAAATCTATCAAATGGGATAAAGTGTACCTGTATTGGAAGGTTGTTAGTGTCCTGCCGGATGATGTTGACACCCATCAGTAAAACTTCTTGAACAAATTTGATGTCATTATAAATCTCCTCATCCAGGAAACCCTCTGTATCCATGGCAACCAAACACAGACGGAGATCCTCAATTACCTCAGCAACACCAAGTGTTTTACATTTGGCATATAGGAAGTTGAAATTGCAAGCTATGATGTCACGGAACACCTGATAGCGCTGGCATTTGATAAGGTGGTAGGGCAGTTCGATGAGTTTGCGTGTGTTGTACATGTTGTGGCAGTATAGGGTGGGCTGTTCCGGTACTGAGCGGACGGCGTTAGGGTACGACGCCGTCTTCTTTTTGTATAACTTCAGAGCTTTTCGCTTCTTATACCAGACTCCCTGGAAATAGTCTGCCAGTAATACATGTATCTTCACAGCACGATCCTTCGAGAGATACCGTTCTGTTGCCATCTACAGAAATCCAGGTAAAATACTCGTGAGACAATTATGAGACGACAGTAACACAAGGTGTTGGAATATCAGTATTCCCTATGGTCGCAACGGTGGTATTAGGAAGACAACAATATCTTGGCGACTGGTCTACAAAGCATAAACAGTATAAGTCATCATCACTTGTATCATTTTAGAGAATTACCCAGAAGGCCAACACAGATTAACATTAAGAGCCAACAACCTTTTTACAATACATTTGTATATGTAAATGTATATACAATGTAATCTTTGAACTTGTCCTTAACACTTAACAGTATACAGCCATGAGCCAAATAAGGTGAAAACCTGTGCATAAATAGGATAGATGTCATCTGGAAAAGAAATAACTACTGGGAACTGAGGAAGTCCCTGTGATCTCATTAAACAAACACAGGTTCTGGTCATCTTCAAATGTCGCCTCTGCCTTACCATTATTGAAAAAAGAAACAATTGGTGACAGATATCTAGACAGAAAAATATTTTCAGTTGATCTGTTTATAATGAGGAGATGTATTACCTCTGTGAACTGACGATGGTACCAGGAGAGTACAGAAGTCACACCAGACCTGCGTTCAACAAGGTAGTCTAGTACACTGAAGAGTGCCCGCGTGAGGACAGCCGACGGGAAGCGGATGTTTTCTGGGTCTGGAGGTAGATGGTACAAAAATGTGTCTTGCAGAACTTCATCGTCGAGGGAGAGAATGTCTTCAAGCTCCGACAGTGATAAGCCATCACGTGCAGCACTCAGGTAACCTAGCAACACAAATACAACTACTGTAGCAACGAACTCTACAGTTTGTTCATATGTAATATCACAACACCGATGTTTACTCAAACAAAGGAGAAAAATTAACAACTTTGGTAGTTTACATTTCTTACTGAATTAAATATATATCAGAAGGACAACAATTGCTCCCTGCTCATCAGAATCTGTTAGCCATGGAGAGCACTATTGTTCCCCGTATTGATGTCAACTTTCTCTCTCAAGACATTTTAACTTCTCTTAAACGGGCCTTAGAATATTGTTGTTTGAAGTTTTTACCATATTTGACCCCTGCGACCTTGAAACTAGGTCAAGGTCATCTTAATGAGGAAACTTTATAGCACACCGTCCCAGGTACCTACATGACAAATATCATGACCCTGGGCCTAATGGAAATTGAGAAGAAGATTGTTAAAGCTTTTAACCCATGTTGACCTTTGACCCCTGACAAGCACTTAAAGTTAACCTTTGACCTCATTACTGTAATTAAGGAAAAAGATTTGCACTGCTGGTCTACATAACATACCGAAGTACCATAACATATTTGACCCCTGTGACCTTGAAAGTAGTTAAAGGTTATTTCAATAAGGAAAGTTTATAGCAATCCATCCCAGGTACCTACTGGCCAAATATCATGACCCTTGGTTCCCAGTTCTTCAGAAGAAGTGATTCAAAAGAAAAAGTTGATCGACAGACGACGGACGGACGGACGGACGGACGGACGAAGGCCGCAGTATGGCATAAGCTCACATGGATCTTCTGGCTAGGTGAACTGAAAATAAGTGTCGGCAGACCTGACAATAATGATACAACACTTACCATATAAATGAGTTATAATGATTTCTCCGTGTTCTTTTTCTATGGATTCAAAGAGACGAACAATGGCTTCCTTGATGCTGTTTCCAACAGCTGTTTTGGACATGGCAGTAGAAGATTTCCACGTTACAGCCCGGTCAGCCAACAGCTTCACGTAAAGTGGCTGGCCTACCTTCGCAGTCTTGTCCAGCAGATGGCGCCACTGAAGCTTTGTAAGTCGTCGACTTTTTTCTTTCAGAACATTTTTTATAATGTTTTCTGAAGTTTCTTGCGACAAAGAAGGAACGTGGACCATGCTGTCATGTGAAGGTAGTAGAGAGCGGAGGTTTTCCAAACAATTGTTGTGTTGAGGTATGGCTGACACGACAATGTGAACACCAGGTGGCACCTTGAGAGGCAGCCAACGCATGGTACTTGCATGGTCAGTCAGCTGCAGCTGGTCAACCGAGTCTAGAAGGATGACCAGTGGTCGGTCCTTGGTCTTAATCCTCCACAGCAGAGCTAACATATACTGAGTGAGAAAGTGGAAATCACTCTCCAGGTCAAGGTTCAGAGGGGGCTTCACTTTGTACAACACCCAGATCTGTAGACAGATGCCCAGAAGTACATCACGGATAGAAGACGAATTGGCTGAAGTTCCCAAAAAGCGCACAATCTGAACAGAATTCGGAAACCATGTTTTACTAAGTTCAGCTATCTTTGCCATCACGGATGTTTTTCCTGACCCTGAACTGCCATAAATAGTGACTGGCCGACAATAGGTTTTCATCGCTGGTAAGCGGATCATTTCAGTTTTTGGGTTTCGGCTAGGGTCATTTTCGTGATCGAGGTCAAGGTCAGCGTGATTGTATATTATACCCAGCTGCTTCAATCTTTCTTTTGTTCCTTGATATTCTGCTTGAATCTGTTTGAGTTCATCCAAATCTTTCTTGGAAACTTGTCCATCCAATGACTGATATAAAGATACAACAGAAGATGTATCCATTTCATCTGTGTCCTTTTTCCCATTCTCTTCACTTTGACCTTTAATATCTGTATCGGTGTGAGTTGCCATCATTTTCTGTCGCACTGTTTCCAGCAGATCAGCTCGTCCACAGAACACTCGACTTTTATGATTGGCGAAATGTAGATGCTGTAGAATCTCTATATACATTTTTTCATTGATACCAAAATGTTTGCTGTCTTTTTTTTCCAGTGATTTTTCTATCATCCTTGTCATCTTGTTCTCAAAATCTTCACACATGTCGTTGAGGTAGTTCATGTGATCTGTGTTGCTGGTGTCCACTCCTGCGGGGGTCCTGCATACAAAAAATACACCATTAAAATATCCTTACACAAAAACCTTATATATACACAGTCAATCCCATCTTACTCAAGCTCGTGGGTCCAGCTCAATTCTTCAAGGAATACATGCATTGTATTCAACAAATCCAAGGTTATTTTAACATTGTCATGTATCGATCCGGTGGGACGGCAGATTAGCTCAGACCCTGCCCATGTTGCAGATAATAGATGATAGAAAGAAGGGAGTTGAAGGAAGATTACAACATTTGATCAGAAACAAGAGGCCCAGAGGGCCTGTATCGCTCACCTGAATATGTTTAAAATAATTGGTATGAAGTAGGTGCTGTACGTACATATGAAATTTCAGAAAGATCCATCCAGTACTTGAGATAAAGCGAGAACAAACTTCAAACAGAGCCCCACCCCTATATGCAACTTAGGGGGGTCATACCCCCCAATTATACAAAATTGAGTCCCCTTGACCCAAGGATGCTCCAGACTAAATAAGGATAAAATCCCATAATCCTGATGGTCGAAGACGGATTTCAAAGGTTTTATCTCTATTTCTCCTATTGGGCCCCGCCCCTCAGGACCCTGGGGTACCACACCCCCAATGTATACAAAATTGGTTCCACTTCACCCAAGGATGCTTCTGGCCAAATATGGAACAAATCCTTTCATTCCTACAGAAGAAGAATTTTAAAGAATTTGCTATGTTTCCCCTATTGGGCCCCGCCCTTCTGCCCCTTGGGAGGCCACATCCACTGCATGCTTATACAAAATTGAGTCCCCTTGACCCAAGGATGCTCCATACTAAATAAGGATAAAATCCCATCAGCCTGATGGTCGAAGACGGATTTCAAAGGCTTTATCTCTATTTCTCCTATCGGGCCCCGCCCTTCTGCCCCTTGGGAGACCTCATCCACTGCATGCTTATACAAAATTGAGTCCCCTTGACCCAAGGATGCTCCAGACTAAATAAGGATAAAATCCCATAATCCTGATCGTCGAAGACGGATTTCAAAGGTTTTTTCTCTATTTCCCCTATTGGGCCCCACCCCTCAGGCCCCCCGGGGGGGGGGCCCCCCCATGGTTTATACAAAATTGGGTCCCCTTTACCAAAGGATGCACCTCACCAAATATGGAACAAACCATTTCATTCCTACAGAAGAAGGGTTTGGAAGAATTTGCTATGTTTCCCCTATTGGGCCCCACCCCTCAGGACCCTGGGGTACCACACCCCCAATTTATACAAAATTGGTTCCCCTTCACCCAAGGATGCTTCTGACCAAATATGGAACAAATCATTTCATTCCTACAGAAGAAGAAGGATTTTAAAGAATGATTGGCTATGTTTCCTCTATTTGGCCCCACCCCTCAGGCCTCTGGGGGGGGGGGGGGGCACACCCATGGTTTATACAAAATTGGTTCCCCTTTACCAAAGGATGCACCTAACCAAATATGGACGAAATTCTTTCATTCCTACAGAAGAGGAAGGATTTTAAAGAATTTGCTATAATTCCCCTATTGGGCCCTGTCCCTCACCCCCCAGGGGGGCCAGACCCACGGTTTCTCCAAAATTTGTTCCCCTTCCCCCAAGGATGCTTCAGACCAAATATGGACCAAATCCTTTCATTCCTACAGAAGAAGAAGGATTTTAAAGAATTTGCTATATTTCCCCTATTGGGCCCCGCCCGGGGCCAGACCCATCATTTATACAAAATTGAGTCCCCTTGGCCTAAAGATGCTCCAGACCATATTTAGTCCCAATCTACTTCGGGCAGGTGAGCTAATAAAACTGCTCAACAGTTAAAACATTTCTTGCCATCTCTATTTATAGTAAATATAAAATAAAGAAATGTATATGCAGCTAATATTATTTACATACTCCTCCATGTACCTATCGTGTGACCTATGTCCACCATACTGTACTCTGTTACATTAATTTTACAGAAGTACAAAAAGTAAGATACTGTTAGGTAGAGGAGTTCCAGTTAGCACCTGATAAGGCTTGCTCCTGTAGGCTCCTGACAAATTTTGTGTTTTTCACGAATATACTTATTTACCAACACTGAAGTTTGCCATATTATTATTTGAAGGAGTGACTACCTGTGTGGCAGTCTGTGCGTCGAGGCTTGTCCTTGGCATACAATTGTTGTGATACACAAGGTGTGACTACCTGTGTGGCAGTCTGTGCCTCGAGCCTTGTCCTTGTCTACAATAGTTGTGATACACAAGGTGGGACTCCCTGTGTGGCAGTCTGTGCCTCGTGGCTTGTCCTTGGCATGCAATGGTTGTGATACACAAGGTGTGACTACCTGTGTGGCAGTCTGCGCCTCGAGGCTTGTCCTTGGCATGCAATAGTTGTGATACACAAGGTGGGACTACCTGTGTGGCAGTCTGTGCCTCGAGGCTTGTCCTTGGCATACACTAGTTGTGATACACAGGTGTGACTACCTGTGTGGCAGTCTGTGCCTCGAGGCTTGTCCTTGTCTACAATAGTTGTGATACACAAGGTGTGACTCCCTGTGTGGCAGTCTGTGCCTCGAGGCTTGTCCTTGGCATGCACTAGTTGTGATACACAAGGTGTGACTACCTGTGTGGCAGTCTGTGCCTCGAGGCTTGTCCTTGGCATGCAATAGTTGTGATACACAAGGTGTGACTCCCTGTGTGGCAGTCTGTGCCTCGAGGCTTGTCCTTGGCATGCAATAGTTGTGATACACAAGGTGTGACTACCTGTGTGGCAGTCTGTGCCTCGAGGCTTGTCCTTGGCATGCAATAGTTGTGATACACAAGGTGTGACTACCTGTGTGGCAGTCTGTGCCTCGAGGCTTGTCCTTGGCATGCAATAGTTGTGATACACAAGGTGTGACTACCTGTGTGGCAGTCTGTGCCTCGAGGCTTGTCCTTGGCATGCAATAGTTGTGATACACAAGGTGTGACTACCTGTGTGGCAGTCTGTGCCTCGAGGCTTGTCCTTGGCATGCAATAGTTGTGATACACAAGGTGTGACTCCCTGTGTGGCAGTCTGTGCCTCGAGGCTTGTCCTTGGCATGCAATAGTTGTGATACACAAGGTGTGACTACCTGTGTGGCAGTCTGTGCCTCGAGGCTTGTCCTTGGCATGCAATAGTTGTGATACACAAGGTGTGACTACCTGTGTGGCAGTCTGTGCCTCGAGGCTTGTCCTTGGCATGCAATAGTTGTGATACACAAGGTGTGACTACCTGTGTGGCAGTCTGTGCCTCGAGGCTTGTCCTTGGCATGCAATAGTTGTGATACACAAGGTGTGACTCCCTGTGTGGCAGTCTGTGCCTCGAGGCTTGTCCTTGGCATGCAATAGTTGTGATACACAAGGTGTGACTACCTGTGTGGCAGTCTGTGCCTCGAGGCTTGTCCTTGGCATACAATAGTTGTGATACACAAGGTGTGACTCCTTGTGCACCAAACAAATAGAATAAATACTAAGGACCAGACAGTCGGGGGTAAATTATCACACATTGAGTCAAGTACTCATCTCACAAATGGTCGACATAAAATATATAATATTTACAACGAAAATAAGCATGGCAGTTCTAGTAATCCAAGGAAATCTATAAACAATATAATTATACTGTTAAGAACATGAATGGAATCAAGCAAACTTTTCAACAAACAAGGAAGGCCCGAGTAATGTGAGTTTGAGGCAAATACATCCATGTCAGCCATCTTCCCTACATAATCACCCCGAAAAAATTCCTTTCCTTACGCAAATCATCATATGCATACACCTGGGTTATCTCAAACTTACCAGTATAAACTGTACTTCTTCATTTCCTCCGGACCAAGCTTTGGAGTGACTTGAGTGTACTTGAGCCTCTCCCTCAACTCCATAGCCTCATCATCTACAGAGCCATCTATCAGGTCTGTAAACCTCCCTACAATCACATCACCAGTGATCAAGTTTCCTTCCTGTTTTCAACTTTACATTTATGAATAATAAACTGACATTTCAAAGATTGGGAATTAAAGTTATTTCATAAGACTTCAACTTTCTAAGAAAAGAAATTAGAAATACATTTATATTATTTATATATATAATTTAAAATGAAAAAATCTATTACTAATAAAGAATGATACACTGAAAACCTAATGACTCAAAACCTGTCCAGATCCGTAATTCAAAGAGTATATGGTAATCAATGGATATTTCAATATTGGTCCAAGATTTTCAAGTATTGATCTGTAAAATCCAGTGTGTTTCCGTGAATGTAGGAATATTTCAATCCTTATAAAAATTATTTGAAATGTCCAGAAATGAATTTTAGTAAATGGAATGTAAATATGAGGATTGTTTTTCAATTTCTTAAAAGCTTATTAGAGTAATATTACGTTAACATCCAATGGGAATCAAACCAGGCAGTCTTTTTTGCTGCACTCACCAACATGCCGCAAAATATACATATTTGACCACCAGTGCATGTCTGGTTACCTAAGAGTATTAAAATAACGCTGCTTGGACCAATGAACGAGGGGAATTCAAATTACTAATGTATTCAAGTTCCAGGAAGTGGGGTTTCAGTCATACATTGATAGGTGTGAAACAGAAGTCTGCGTCGACAGATACTGTCACAAAACAATCATTTCACTTACAAACAGAAGTCTGCGTCGACAGATACTGTCACAAAACAATCATT